TTAGGAATAAACTTAACCAAGGAGGTGAAAAATCAATACACTGAAAACTATATAACATTGATAAAGGAAACAGAAGATGATTCAAAGAAATGGAAACATATCCCAGTCTCGAATTGAAAGAATTAATATTGTTAAAATGGCCACGCTATCCAAAGCAATCTACAAATGTAATACAATCCCTATCAAAATACCCATGACATTTTTCACAGAACTGGAACAACTAATCCTAAGATTTACATGGAACCACAAAAGACCCAGAACTGCCAAAGCAATCCTGAGGAAAAAGAACAAAGCTGGAGGCATAACCCTTCCAGACTTCAGACAATACTACTACAAAGCTACAGTAGCAAAACAACATGGTATTGGCACAAAAACAGATAGATCAACGGAACAGGATAGAGAAGCCAGAAGTAAACGCACACACCTATGGTCAGTTGATCTACAACAAAGGAAGCAAGAATATACAACGGAGAAAAGGTAGTCTCTTCAACAAATGGTGATGAGAAAGCTGGACAGCTACATGTATATCAAGGAAATTAGAACACTCCCTCACACCATATACAAACATAAACTCAAAATAGTTTAAAGACCTAAATATAAGACATGACACCATAAAACTCCTAGAACATAGGCAAAAAATTCTTAGACATAAATCACAGCAATATTTTCTTAGATGAGTCTCCCAAAGCAAAAGAAATAAAAGCAAAAGTAAACAAATGAGACTTAATCAAACTTAAAAGTTTTTGCACAGTACTGTAAGGGAAATCATCAACAAAAAGAAAAGACAACTATGGACTGGAAGAAAATATTTGCAAATGATGTGACCATTAAGGGGTCAATATCCAAAATATACAAAGAGCTCATACAACTCAGTATCAAAAAAGCAAACAACCCAATCAAAAAATGAGCAGAAGACCTAAATAGACATTTCTCCAAAGAAGACACAGAGATCACCAACAGGCACATGAAAAGATGCTCAACATCACTAATTAGAGAAATGCAAATCAAAACCACAATGAGGTATCACCTCACACCAGTTAGAATGGGCATCATCAGAAAATCTACAAATAAATGCTGGAGAGGGTGTGGAGAAAAGGGAACTGTTGGTGGGAATGTTAACTGGTGAGGCCACTATGGAAACAGTACGGAGGTTCCTTAAAAAACTAAAATAGAGCTACCATATGATCCAGCAATCCCACTCTGGGCGTATATCCAGAAAAGATGAAAACTCTATTTCAAAAAGATACATGTACGCCAATGTTCATAGCAGCACTATTACAATAGCCAAGGCATGGAAGCAACCCAAGTGCCCATCAAGAGACGATCAGTTTAAGAAAATGTGGTGTATATATATACAGTGGAATATTACTCAGCCACAAAAAAGAATGAAATATTGCCATTTGCATGGACCTAGAGAATATTATACTAAGTGAAGTAAGTCAGAGAAAGACAAATATATGATATCGCTTATATGTGAAACCTAAAAATCAATACAAATCAATCTATATACAAAACAGAAACAGACTCACAGATATAGAAAACAAACTTGTGTTTACCACAGGGTGCAGGGATAAATTAGGAGTATGGGATTAACAAATACAAACTACTATAAGTAAAACAGATGAGCAACAGGATTTACTGTACAGCACAGGGAATTATATGCAATATCTTATAATAACCTATGGTGGAAATAATCTGATACAGATATTACTGAATCACTTTGCTGTACACCTGAAACTAACACAACTATACTACAAATGAACTATAATTCAATTAAAAAAAAAAAGAAGGGCTTCCCTGGTGGCGCAGTGGCTGAGAGTCTGCCTGCCGATGCAGAGGACACAGGTTCGTGCCCCGGTCTGGGAGGATCCCACGTGCCGCGGAGCGGCTGGGCCCGTGGGCCATGGCCGCTGGGCCTGCGTGTCCGGAGCCTGTGCTCCACGGCGGGAAAGGCCACAGCAGTGAGAGGCCCACGTACCGCAAAAAACAAAAACAAAAAAAAAAAAAAGGAAAAAAGAAAAAAAAAGATTCTTGACAACTAAATGCCACATGAGATCCTGGGCCAGAAAAAAATTTTTCCCATTTGTTACTGATATAACAATATTACAACAACTGTTAAAATTTGAATAAGGTCTATTTGTAGATTAGATAAGAATATCATAACCAAAAATAGGTGTTCAGCAGATATGACCCACAAACTGAAATTCTGTGGTGGCCCTCTGTAGCTTTGAAAATGAGGTAACAGGAAGACAGTCAACTGATTCCAGGCCACATGCAGCACTCGAGAGAAAAGAAATTCAGGAAGAAATGAGAAAAATACATGAATCTGCAGGATTATCATACCCAGTTCTGGGTTCAAATCCCAGCTCAGCTGCTGTCTGACTGAGTAACACCGGATGGGCCACCCCTCTGGTCTCATTCCCATCAGATTTTCTGGGGAACGAGGCATAGTGTTCATTGGTAAGCTACACAACGTATTTTGCATGACTATGTGTAGAAACAAGGAGCCAATCATCTTTCAAGATTACTTCTATTTTTAACATCAATCAGTGTCCCAAAGCAATCCTAAACAGCCCTCTCTTAATCTTCATACTATTTTCCATTAAATAGCTCTTAGGACAATGAAATATAAGCTATTAAGTTTCCTTCAAATTCCCCTAACATCTTGGAATTCCATTAGTTCTGCTATAATGATTCTGATGTTTAAATTCTCCTTACTCCTTCCTTTTGGCATCTCTAATTTGCTTTGCATGCGTTCTTTCAGAGCTCACGTCTTTGCGTTTTAAGTAGCAAGATTGCACAAACATAGCAATTCTGAATATATAACACCTCTGGAACATCTCTACCCATAGGCACTTAAATATAGAAACTTTTATTCAGAGAGCTCACACTGAGATTCTGCTTTATTATTGCAACAGCTCTGGAGCTTAGGAATAAATCGCATGAAAAGTGGGTAGTTCTGGGGTGATGCCAGCATGCCTCCTAGTGGACAGTATAAAACATTTCATTTTTAACGAGGTTCGGGCCATATTAATATGCAAGTCCACTTTTAACTTGCTGATCTGTGAAGGATGAGGTCCTCTTTATAAGCGAATACACGTGCTATCCTGTCTTGGCTTCCTAAGCAGAGGAGAGTGAATTAACTCTTTCCTTGATGACGTGGCTCCACTTCTGCGGGCCCTTGCAGGACTCGATCACTGAGTGCACTAGTTCATATTCTGGCTCCCGTGTCACGCTGCTGCCCTGGGCCTGTGTGGACAATGACCCTCAGGTTTTCCAGTTCCAACAGCCCCACTACCTGCTAGTGCTTCTAACTGCAGTCTCAGGCCTGTGAAGTTGTTACTGAGCTTCCCCTAACACAGTAATGTGCCTTATGAGGATGGGTCTCCATCTTCATGGAGATTTTGGCATCAAAATCCAATGAAGGATTAAGGTCACAGCTTTGTGGCCCCCATTTTAAATCAGTTATTCTTTTATTTAGCTTTCTAGTGTCTATCATATTGTTGTCTGTCTCTCTTTTTTTAGAAAGCTACACTCGCAATTTCTTGGAAATAATAATAATAAAAAAAGGAAATGCTCTTTCAATAAAAAGACAAAAATGGCTGAGATTGTGGCCAGCATGTTCTACATAATTCACATTCCTTAGGGTTTCACTTAGGTCTTTTTAGGAAGAAATGTTGCTCTCATTCTTTTCTGGCTTACAGTTACACATTTCTTGACACTTTTCCAAATAGAGGCACTATTGGCAAAGGACTTTTTCACCTGAGAGGCCTGAGAAAAAGCTCTCTTTAACTGTAATTATGGTATAATTATTACCTAACATAATTATGTATCATGACAGCAACTGACATTTGGCCCTTAGAAGTCTTCCTTTCTTGTTGCTTTAATTACAAGGGACTCTTACTTGCCCAGTTTTCATCTCATTTATATCTGCTAGGCTGAGAGACAATCAGATGAACAATTCTATGGAGAGAATTGTCTCTCATTCATGGGCTAGCAGTGAATACCACAGTTTAGTCTACAGATTAAGGATAATACTAACTGATTTTTAAAAAGAAAAACTATGCGAAGAGTAGAGGGAAGGCCAAAGAGAAAGCAAGGGGTAAAAAAAGTTATGGTTCACACTCAATTTATACTCGGAAGGAAAATGGCTTGTCTATATTTCATATAACTGGGAGGATCTACTACTCATAAAAAAAGTATATAGAACACTAATACAATCTGATAGTTATATATTTTCTCCCAGGTCAATATTATACTTAAGAACACAGTACTTCATTACTTTTTATATGTAAAACGTAAGAAACAGTGATAATCACAAGAGAAACTAGTTACGATAAGTTGTTCAAAACGTTATACCATTTAGGGACTTCTCTGGTGGCACAGTGGTTAAGAATCTGCCTGCCAACGCAGGGGACACGGGTTTGATCCCTGGTCTCAGAAGATCCCACATGCCGCAGGGCAGCTAAGCCCATGCGCCACAACTACTGAGCCTGCACTCTAGAGCCTACGAGCCACAACTACTGAGCCCACGTGCCACAACTACTGAAGCCGGCATGCCTAGAGCCCTTGCTCCGCAACAAGAGAAGCCGCCACAATGAGAAGCCTGTACACCACCCCTGCTCACCGCAACTAGAGAAAGCCCACATGCAGCAACAAAGACCCAACACAGCCAAAAATAATAAATTAATTTTAAAAAATGTTATACCATTTGGAAATTAGATTGGGGACTATATTATAAAGCTTATTTTGATTCAATTCTTGGGAGGAAAGATGAAAAGTTGATGTTTGCATAGCAAAAGAAGACAGCAAAAAAGGAATCCTCAGCAGAAGTTCTCCACTGTCTGGGGATGCAATTCTTTTCTCAATGACCTCTTGGGATTTCGGTTACTATTTTAAGGTTCTCCAGTGAAATTTTTTCTAGGAGAATTAACTCCCAAGAAAGAACTAGGAGGTTTGTTTGTTTGTTTTTAACTTGAAAAGAAACAGAACGTACATACTGCTTTACAACTGTTGGCTATCAGACTTGCAGTCTTCTTGAACGTCTTTTCAAGGTAGTGTGCAAATCTTTCATTTTCATTTTCTTTTGACCCGAGCTGAAGAAATTCACCTATAAAAAAGGAAAGTGGTCATGTGAGGGGTTTTTTTTGCTTGGCAAAAAAATAAGATTGAATAAAAAAGAAGAAAAGTCAGAATTAACCTACCACGCACCAAATCTTCAATCACTTGGGTTAAAATAGATACAACAGTTGTATTTCCAATTCGTGCCAGAGCTATCGATGCTGCAGAAAGAATTAAATCGCCAGCAAGGACAGCCTAGAAGAGAAGAAAACTTTCAGAGAAAAATATCTGAGCATCGGAGCCAACAATGAAGTTAACTTCTCAGAAGAGAAACAGGATGGGAGGTAGGGAGGGGGTCATCCTGGATATATTTTTCCCCTTCCTCTTCCTCAGCAGGATTACGTTATAATCAGCTACAGATTTGGGATGCTGTTTGAACTGGATGGGCTCTCAGAGATGACCCAGTCTGCCTCTCCAGTTCAGAGCTGAAGAAATGAATGCCTAGAGACGGAAGTACCTGACCCTCTGGCTTCATCCCTAGCCCCAGCAAAATGTCACTGCCTTCATTTAGTTATGCTGGACCATTCGCTCTCCCATCAAACTATGTGGCTGTGCCTTTGCACTTACTGTTTCTTCTGCTCAAAAGAGTCCTTCCCCTTCATCACCTGGCAGACTCATGTGCAGAATTAGCTCAGGCGGCACCTGCAGGAAGTTCACTCAGATCCCTCACTCTGATCTTCTGTGAGCACAGCACCCCTTGGATATTGCTGTCTTCCCACATTTTTCCTATTTACCCAACTCCTAAGAGCATGTAGCGGGAATTATCCAGCTAGTACTTAGTACACACCAGTGCACGGCCCAACCCATGCTTTTCTCAATGAAAACTAAACCAAGGAATCTTGGCTCCAAGTTCAATGCTCTTAGAACGCTATTACACTGCCCCTCATTCCAGGACAAAATATTTTTTTCACTGAACACCAATCAATATTTTCCCAATCTTCTTTAGATTGTGAACAAACGTCTGCATTGTATTTGCAACTAATTATAAGTTATTCATGACCGAATTACATGCTGTACTCAAATACACTAATTTGCATACTTAAAGATATGGATAGGTGTTATAGAGTAGTTATAAATGATAGAGTTTGTGGAATTTGAATCCACAGAATTTGCAACATAACCACATTTTAAGTTTTTTTATTTGTTGTTGTTGTTTTTGTTTTTGGCTGCACCGTGTGGCATGTGGGATCTTAGTTCCCCAACTAGGGACTGAACCCGTGCCCCCTGCAGTGGAAGCGTGGAGTCTTAACTGCTGGACCGCCGGGGAAGTCCCAAGTTTTTATTGTCTGTTAGTTCTCTAGTATCTAAAATTAGTGATGTTCAGTATGTTTACCAACTAGTCATTTTATATAACATATACGGTATAAGGTATCTTGATGTAAATGTAAATATACATTTATAATGTCATTGTAGGACTTTCCTGGTGGCGCAGTGGTTGAGAATCTGCCTGTCAATGCAGGGGACACGGGTTCAATCCCTGTTCCGGGAAGATCCCACGTGCCACGGAGCAACTAAGCCTGTGCGTCACAACTACTGAGCCTGTGCGCCACAACTACTGAGCCTGTGCTCTAGAGCCCACGAGCCACAACTACTGAGCCCATGTGCCCCAACTACTGAAGCCCGCACATCTAGAGCCCATGCTCTGTGACAAGAGAAGCCACTGCAATGAGAAGCCTGCCCACCGCAACGAAGAGTAGCCCCCACTTGCCGCAACTAGAGAAAGCCCACACGCAGCAACGAAGACCCAATGCAGCCAAAAATAAATAAAATAAAAAATATAAAGTTATTGTACGCATTATGATTTATAGGTACACACACATCCATCATCCACCCTACATCATTAGCAGCTGAGGGCTCAGGATCCCTAGACTTTTGCCTCTTTCCTCTCCTGGCCCTGGGGATCCCAGAGGCCAAAAGCTTCCAGCATTTGGAACTAAAGCTGCCACATTGGGGATGGCTGGGGTGAGGGGTTAAGGGAAAGAAGGGATAGGGACCCAGACAGGGGAATGAGGGTTCATGGAGGAGGTGCTGTACGAATGGATTTTTATTGGTAACACAGCAGTTTTGTTTGACGGGCAAAAAAGGGGAGACTAGCAGGTGGCCCCATGCAGGGCAGACCAGCCTTGCAGCTGAAAGAGGCAGGTGACAGTGTAAACACAGTCTTCCAAAGGAGGCCCCCGGGACTTTTCTGGTGGCGCAGTGGTTAAGAATCTGCCTGCCAATTCAGGGGACACGGGTTCGAGCCCTGGTCCGGGAAGATCTCACATGCCGTGGAGCAACTAAGCCCATGTGCCACAACTACTGAGCCTGTGCTCTAGAGCCCGCAAGCCACAACTACTGAAGCCTGCGCGCCTAGAGCCCGTGCTCCACAACAAGCCACCGCAATGAGAAGCCCAAGCACCGCGTTGAAGAGTAGCCCCCGCTCACCGCAACTAGAGAAAGCCCGCGCGCAGCAACAAAGACCCAACGCAGCCATAAATAAATAAACAAATTAATGAATTAATTAATAATAATAAAAAAAGGATGGGGGACCCCAACAGCAGAGGCAGTCACAAGAGGGGACCAGTCAGGAGAAAAATCTTAACTTGTTCACTTAATCCTCCCCCTTTGCCCAAGGGCTCAAGTATAAAGCTTTAAGGACAGGCTCTGAAAACAGACACAGCAGACTGCAGGACATGTCATAGAGTTACCCAGGGCCTCTCCAAAATGAAACTCCACCCTTTTTTACCAACATTCTGATGTATAGAATTCTGTCAATAGGACACAAAACCTTTTCATCTAAAATCGGAAATAAAAAGATTTAACAAAATCATGTGCGCTAAAGAAAAACCAGCATGTAAAGATAATAATGAAGGTATATTTTTTCTTTGAATACGATTAGAAAACAGGTGGGAACCAGGTATTACAGACATGTGAGGGTGGGGAAGGTATGGAGAAGGAAAACTCATTCACATTAATGTTTTGTTTGTGCTTCAAATGGGCAGGATGGCCAAGGGAAGGGCATGTGTGACGGGAGATGCCTGCTCCCAGAAGGCCCGTGGGTCTTCCCTTTTATTTGCTGAATTTTATCCCCTTCCTCAACCCATGATTTAAACATCCTTAAACAAGATGCCACATTCTACACACCCCCTTCAAGAAATGCTAATAAAATAACGTGGAAATATGCTTTAAAATATACATGAACTATTCAATTATAAAGCTTCTATTTAAAAAGGTAAAAATTTCATGGGAGAACAGTATTCCTCTGAGATTGATACAGATGTGTATGAATATGTGTGTGTATATATGTGTGTATATTTATACATATATATATATATATATATATATATATATATTAGTTTTGTTTATTTACTTGCCTTGAAACTCTTGCATGTGGCAGTTAGTAAATGGTTAAACAATTAAAGTGAATCTGAGTAATGTAAGCCCCAAAGTAAAAGGTGTGATTCCTCATGAAATATGCTTTTTGGATAACTACAAAAATCTCCTTCCTTAACCAAATTCTTATATAAAACTGTGAAGAAGCAGAAACACTAAGTTTATTTTTCTGTGCTGTTATCCATGATCAAACATCTGTATATAGACCAGACATGAAAACTATTTTGAAAGGTGGAAGACCACATTTGATGAAGCATTTTTTTTTTTTTTTTTTGCGGTACGCAGGCCTATCACTGTCGTGGCCTCTCCCGTTGCGGAGCACAGGCTCTGGACGCGCAGGCTCAGCGGCCATGGCTCACGGGCCCAGCCGCTCCACGGCATGTGGGATCTTCCCAGACCGGGGCACCAACCCGTGTCCCCTGCATCGGCAGGCGGACTCTCAACCACTGCGCCACCAGGGAAGCCCATATTTTACTTTTTAATGAGACAAATCTGGAAAATAAATGCAATCCAAAGAGTATGGGATTTAATAAGAAAGATTTAAAAAACCAAAAAGCCATACCTTCTTTTCACCCCAGATCTTATTAACTGTGTGTTTTCCTCTTCGGGAACTTGCATCATCAATGACATCATCATGGACCAGGCTGGCAGTGTGGATCATTTCTGCAATTAAGGCTATGGCACGCTGGCTTGCTTGCACATTTCTAGTTAACAGAAAGCAATGCTTTTTAACAGAGACACCGCCTATAACCTGCTCAGCAATCATCTTGTGAAAATTGGACATCGGATCTAGGATAAAGAATTTTATTTCTCTAAGAGAAACTATATAAAAACTTTGGCTTCCCTACACAGCCAATTCTATCATTTGGAGAACATTTTAAAAATGCACAAGATACCCTGTACCAAGATTATGTTTTTGGGACACCACACTAAGAAGTAGAATTTGTATAATTAACAACAAAAAAAGGATAAACACCTGAGATGTCTGGGTATCTGGCTGAAGAATCATCGTTATGTCCTATAACAGTGGTCTTGGTCAGTTGGTCAAGTTTACAGTTAGGTTACAATTAAATTTCAGGGGTGGATGGGGAAGATGGGTGAAGAGCATTCTAAAGAAGTGTATGAAAGAACCAACGGTCACTGTGTTCAAAGCTTTTAATAATGTCTTAAATATTTAGTAAGAAGACCCTGATAACCAAGAGAGCTGGAATTCATAATTCCAATTGGCTATTGATATTGGTTACCAATATGAATTGATAATTCATATTGGAATATGAATTCCAATCCAAATTTAACCTGTGCATTAGAAATTTAAACTTTCATTTTCCAGATTTAACACAAAATACAGGAGAAACATTCCCGAGAAGATACTTGGATGCGACTTTTACAGTTAAAAGGGAACCCCAATTTCTTTTTAATCATCATTATTCTCACCATCATCATCTATGGGAATTTAAAAAAACTGAATTTTAAGAAAATCAAACTGGAGAAATAACCAACTGAATTTTCTGAATCTAACACAGAAGCCTGGCTCAAACACACGCTAACTAAATGTTTTATTTATTCCTATAGCTTACTTTTCAAATATCACCACGTTCTCTCTTAGAAGAAAAGAGAGAGGGATACTGAAATGTGGCTTTTTTTCTTTAAGAACCTAATCTGAACATCTGCAAAAGCCAGTGCTCATTCTAATTCCTCAGATCCAGCAGAAAGCCATGAAAAATGAAGTATAACTAACATTAAAGATGCTGGAATTTAACTACAAACACTAAATCAGCCTGAAGACTATCTTCCCGTCTTGCTTGAAATGTAATTTTAAAATATGGTGCTTTACCAGCAACTCTTACTTAAGATTTTTAGAACTAAACCTCAGAATCTTCCAACTGCTTTTAGCCCAGAAATCAACTGTAAAGTGCTGCTCGTTATTTATTAATGTCACAATTATAACAGTTCTAAACACTTCTGGATCACAACACATTCTTCTGAGGAGGTAGAAGTAAAGAAACAGAGGGGAGGGACAAATCATCCTGTAAAACTACTTTAGTTTATGAGAAAATGGAGCTTTGGATGGCTTCCAAGAGCTTGTTCTGAATCCTTCTGTGAGAAACTCACAGACCCTATAGAAGGAAGCTTGGACCTTAAGTATTTTTCAGGTAAATTTACTGGATCCTGTCTTAATGCACAAGAAAAGATGTAGACTTTTACCGTTGTTTTTTACATAAATAGAAAGACTATTTCTTTAGAACATTTTCTCAATGAATTTCAGTCTGATGAAATATACACTTGCTACTCATTAATAGTAGATCTTACCTTAAACAACTGGTAAGACCTCTAAGCCTTTCTCATGTATTTAGAGGTCGGGCACCACTTCCGTTATCACAAACTATGTCAGCAGGCAGGGGTCCTGCTGGGAAGCTGCAGTAAAATGGCAGTACTCACTGAGACACTAGAGTTTTTTGTAATTTGAAGATATTAAAACAAAGATTTCTTAAAATATCTTGAAATTTCATAGACTACATATATGTAAAAATGCCTTTTCTACGGCTAAATTGATGAAATCAGGATTCTTGCTTAGAAAGTTATTTGGCATCGTGACACAGCTCCTACATAGGATAAACATCACATTTTAGACGCTTTATCATTTTATCTGATGTACTTTTTCCTGCACAATTAGCCTTTAACATGTGCCAGCTTCTATCTGGAAAATACTGTCACTACGTATCCACAGTACAGCATAATGGTCTGCAACCCAAATTTACAGATCACAGAAACAACTCACACTGTTTTGAAGATGAAATCTTCGAAGTACCGAACTGAGTCATGCCTTCAAAAAACTGGGCATCATGTCTACTTCCTGCTGTGAAAGAGCTGCCACACTTTCCCAACTTCTGGGAGAGGTGCTAAGAAAAACCAGTCAGGCGAGACAGCAGGAGAAAATGAGGCCCCGAGTCTGAGTCTCGAAAGGTGGCTCTGTCCTCCATCCTTCACACCTGCAAGAGCGTGCGATGACTCAGCCAGCCCCTCACAACAGTCAGGTTCTTCCCTCTTCATTAGATTTCAAACAACATTTTTATAATGAATAATTTCAAGCACAGACGGAAACAGATGGAATAATATAATGACCCCCCACATACCCTTCACCAAGCTCACATGTGATTTAAATAAAATGCTTTTTCCTCCTATTCATACTGATATATAATGCCAAGTCTTAAAGAAATGACAAGTAAACCCCCAGTGTGGGAAAACTGTCTCCAAAAAGAAAGTCAAACCTTATCAATGGGTTACCTTGATTTGCAACAACTGAGGGAAGCAGAAGAATTTAAATAGTAAATGTGGTTTCACTCTAACCGAGACAGAGAAGCTTCTATTCCCAAAGCTACAGAGGTTGTATAAAGACCAGAGTTCTCAGCTGGGTTACAGAAGGCTGTTTCTATTTCCCAATGTTCTTCTGTTTATTTTCTTCTGCCAATTCTAAACAGAAGCGTTTCACTTTGTTTGTGAGAACTCTGACAAGATTAGTGTTTCTTAAATATCATCTCTTGCCCACTGTGTCAAAATCAATACTCTTGAAAATACAGACTGAAAGTTCCTTAGACTTAGGAACTGGGATCCCTCATGATGGGGCTCAGGAACTGGCATTCTGAAGCAGCAGTCCTGGTGATTCTGACACACAAAGTTGGGGACATGCTGCTCTGTAAGTGGGGTATTCGCCTGACTGACTGCAAGCCCCAAACGGAAGCTTCTCCTGAGAAGGGATTTGACACAAGCTCAGCCTCTGCTGCCCCCCTGCAGCCCCGCCTCTAAACCGCGGGCATGACCTGAAACTTGGGGGCCCAGTTTAAAGGTCTTATGCCAACGACTCCCCAAGTCTCTTCGGAGCTGGAGGGCAGGAGGTCTCCCCTGTTCTGAAAGGCACAGTCATGGGAGGGTGACCTCCTCTTCTCCGACACTTCGCATCATCTCGAGTTTTAAAGGCACGAATGAACACTTTATCAGTTTGGTACTGAAGAACTCTCTAGTTAAAATGCAAACAAAGTCTCTCTCTGTCTGTCTCTAAAATTCTTCAGGATGTGAACTGCATCTCCTAGTTGTTACCTGATAAAAGTACACACTTGTGTACCTGATAAAAGTACACAAGTTTTCAGTATGCTGAACAATATATCCACGTCACTTAAGATTCTATCTTTATCTGCCACTGAGCTGACTTGCTACAAGTTTGGGTCCCTCAACTACTGACACTGTGGAAAGTGTTCAGCTCCCCCCGGGTCTGCGCTGCCAGATCTGGTGCATCCGGAAGCGGTACCTCCAGAGGGAGAGAAAAGTCCCAGCAGGCACACTCTCCACACTCGTGCGATATGATGTGAACGATGGGGTTTGTCCCAGTTTCCTGTGGCCCGGTGACAAAACACCACAAACTTGGTGGTTTAAATCAGTAGAAATTCTGCCACAGTTCTGGAGACCACAAGTCCAAAAGCATTTTCCCTGAACTGAGATGGAGGTATCAGCAAGGCCAGGCTTCCTGCAGAGTCTCAAGGAGAGAATCCTTTCCTCGCTCCTTCCAGTTGTGCTGGCTGCTGGAGGGCCTTAGTTTGTGGCCACAAGCTTGAAGCAGCCACCTTCAAGTCTCTCCCCTCCATCTTCACACGGCCTTCTCTTCTGTTACGGCAATCTCCCTCTGCCTCCCTCTTTAGGGATACAAATGACTGCATTTCCGGCCCATCAGATAATCCAGGATGACACTCCCATTTCAAGATCCTTAACTTAAGCACATCTGCAAAGACCCTTTTCTTGCCATATGATGTAACACTTACAGGTCCCAAGGATTAGGACGTGCATACTTTTGTGGGGCCATTTTTCAGCCTAACACAGCTTCTTACTTTCACCATCCTCCTCTGCTGATGCGCACATGTTTCCTTTTCAGTGATCTGATTCTTAAAATTACTTGATTTTACTTCATCTGTCTAAAATCTTGTTTCTCCACATTACTGACACGACCTTGAAGTGTCTCCCCTTCCGCAGCGGCATCCAGGTTGAACGCGGGGGACGGAAGGCGTTCCTGCCCACCCCTTACTCTCGCTTCTCATCCTCGGCCCAATATTTCTGTTCCTTGGCCTCTGCCCCCAGCCACTGCGGTCTTGTTCCCTTTCCCTGTATTCCTTACTGGCACACTGATGCATGAACATCAAAGGTGCCTTCCTTCTAAGGGACAGCAGAGTACAGGAGGGATACCTGTGAGCTCCAACTTGGAGCTAGCACGTCATTTTCCTTGGTCACTGGCCATTCACCTTTGAAAACCCAAACAAGCGCACCAGACTACAGTGGAGACTGCCTTTCTTTGGAGGGAGGAGCGGTTTTAAGCTTGATCTTAACGGTAACGAATCCATCAGCAGTTTTAGTATCAAGAAAAATTAACTGACATTCAAGAGCAGCAGCTCCTGAATCTTTCAGATTTATATCCAGATAAAAACAGATGTCTGCAAAGTTGCATCGTAAATGATGCAGGATTCATGCTCCTGGTTATCTTCTTGCCACTGAAGAAACACTGCATTTTGGAAGCCCTGGACATGTGGAGAGTGACTCCATGATGATATCTCAGACCTGCAGCTTATCCAGGCTGGCTTTCTCCACAGGATCCAGGGTGCAAAAGAATAATGCAGCATTTGGGTTTTTTAAATTGAGCACAGCTGATGAACGTGTAGACGTTGATTCCTTCAGTGATAGAATCAGCCTCCCCCTGGGTGGTGGGAGCCAACGAGTGAGCACACACCATGTTCAAAGCCCCATAGCCGCCTTGCTCTCAATGATGTTCCCCTCAGGCTTGGGCCTGACCTCACCCATGAAATGGACAACCACCTGGTTATCAAAGCCTCCTCTACCTCAGCACGTATCCCTTATCACAGACTTTACATCAAGATCCATTTTAATTGAGTATGGACACATCAAGAGTGCCATCTCCTAGGTTAAAGACAAAAATATTTCTCGTGGCACCAACCTTCCTAACCCATAAGCCGCCGCAGCAGTAGCTGGCTCAATGATGCAGAACACACAGAAACCAAGAATGGTTCTAGAATCGTTAGCGGCCTGACTCTAGGAATCATTCATGTGAGCTGGTGCTGTGATGATGACTGTTTTGTTAGTTTCCCTAGAGTAAGTTTTTGTAGTTTCCTTTGTCTTTATGACAATCACAAAAGTTACTTCCTCTGAATTTAAGAGTTTTATCGCATTTGGAAGCTTGACCTATTTACTAATGTGAAAACTGCATCTTATCTGTTCTATCTAATCAAATGTCTGGCTTTGTAAACTAGACTAGTGGGATTCAATGCCACTTGACTATTTGTACAGTCAAGATCAACAGATCTGTGCCCAATGTAACTTGAGTAGGCCTGTTATCCTAATCACTGGCAGTGATATCCACTTTCCAGTGCCAGATTTCCACGAGAAACTGACGGTGTCAAGACTGATGATAAGAACAGGTGCCTTCAATGAGGTCTCTGAGTAGGACAGGTTTGGCTTGTTTGAGAAGAGACACTAATTGTGTTGTGGTCAATAAGTAGAGCAATTTCATAGAATCTATTCTTTATAAAGCTCAGTTCTGACTTGGATTCTTTGATAAGGTAAGTTCTGACCCACAGGTAGTTGGGTTTTGCTGAACTCTGTTGAGGGTTGGGTTCTCGGGAAAGCACTCTCACGTTTAAAGTACAGAATGTCTACTCAGAAATGCCCTTGGGATCAACACCTGAGGGAGGGGGAGGAGACAAGAGGATAGGGTAGAGGGAGAAGTTTCTGCAGTGCAGGCCCATCCAGAGCCACAGCCACTCCATCGTGTGCTCTGGAGCTAGAATGGCCCCTCATCTGTCAGTCCCTGGACGTGGACTGGCTAAGGTGAGAGGATTCTCTGCAGCCGGGGCAACCCTTGAAGAGGCTGCGAACTGAAGGCTCTCCACCAGCAACACTGGCCCAGGAGCTGGGGCAAAGGGTCCTTCAGGGAAGGGGGATCTGGGCAGCGTGGCTCAGAATCCACCACAACTCTGTTTTCTGGACCTTTCAAGTCTGATTATCTGTTGTATGCATCCTACCTTACCTGACCAGGTACTGTAGTTATCAGGATACACAGAAGAAAAATAAAGATGAAGCCTTAAGGTTTTGGGGGCCATATTACCCTTTAAGAATATGCTATAAGCCATGTATACCTTTGCGTGCAAACATATGAAAATTTCTGCACACAATTCTAAGGGGCTCACAGACCCCCCCCCCACCTCAGCTTTCACGGACCTCAGGTTAAGAACTCCCAGTGAAGTGATCTAGCAGGGAACACATAATGGACGACGGACAAGCTTAATACAGGAAAAAGAGAAACTCAGTAGAAGGTAGTTCCCCCACCCCCCATTTCTTAAGGTATCTGTTCCATTCTGTTTTCCAAAATCCCCTCCAGGATTACTGTTAACCTATTTAATACACATCTCAGAAGCAAGACAATGATGTCTAATAAGCCTTAGAGGAGCCATTAAACTGTGACTGTCAAATGATGAAGCAGGCCTCTCGCAATTCTGCCAACACCAACAAGCAGGCAGGTGAAGTAGTGGAACGGCTGCTGGTGGCATCAGCTAGAAACAGAGGCCTGCGTGGTCCTGCCCAGAATCTTTTACCTTTGCCCCACATGGCTCTAAACCTCTTTCAGCAAGCAAAATCACAAATGGCCCAGGCCCTCCCCCCATTCCCCACCCCCTCTTGCTTTAAGTGGCTTGGAAGTTAACAGCTCAATATTTGGCCTATTAAGAGCCTGATCCAAAAGGGTCCTTAGGAAGTAAGTATTCTCAAGAAGCTGGGGCTTGGAGAATAATATCGTTAGGCTACTGTACCACCCAAATGCACGCCACAGTCACGACTCACATCCTGATGCCTCCATACTGTGCCTTCAGCAAGCCCTAAGCTGTAGCCAGAACATCCCTGGAGAAGGCAGAATTGAACTTCCTTTTCTTTAAACCAGCAATGCCTTTTCTGGGTATATAGTCTCCCATTTTTTTCCTGCAAACAACAGTTTATACAGTTTCAATGAGGTAAATTGAAGACTGACTCTGGGGATAACAGCTGACAGGATTTAAGGTGAGCAATGCAGAATATTTTCTTTCCCTTGTTTTCTGTGAGGGTGATGAACCGTATTGTTAATCTGAGAAATTAAAAATATAAACACACACTATCTCTAGACCAGTGGTTCTCAACCAGGGACGATTCTGCTCCTCCGGGGACATCTAGCAATGTCTGGAGAAATTTCTTGGTCATCATCAACTAGGGGAGGGGCTGCCAAACACCCTACAAGACACCTAACAGTCCCCGCGGCAAAGAATTATCTGGCCCTGAATGTCAGCAGAGTCACAGCTGAGAAACCCAGTTCTAGACCACGTGAGAGGTATTTCAAGTTTGGTTCAGAGGGAGCATTTCTGCTGCCCTGCCTTCCGGCAAGGTGAAAGTGGTCCTGATGATGGGAAAATGGTCACTGCCAGAGATTTCACTGCTTGTTCAAACTATACTGTGAGCACTTGGAAAGTCTCAGGGTAAGTGGGAGGCACCCATGAGCATGGAATCATATCGTGGAGCTGGATAGGCACAGCAGCGGGGCACAAACGGCTGCGGGCAGAGGCAAGCATGTGCTAAGAAGCAACATCTGACACTCGTTCTGACAGCAACCTTAAATTTAGTGCTGGCAAACCTTAGGCATTCCTTAAAGTGCTATCTACAGAGAAAAGGGAATGTAATGCAAATGTTCAACACTAGGGAAATGTATGAGTCTATTACTGTCTACTGGAGGATATATCAATAGATTACATGATGTAACAAAAAAAATTATGAAAACACTCCACTAACATGGCAAAGAGTCTAAAAAATAATGGCAATGGGTCCATTGTCGTTTTCCTTTAATATTAAAACATTGCAGTTGTTTTAATATTTGAAAAATTTATACATATTTGAAACATAGAAGTTGAAGACCAATAGTCAAATGCCTTCTTTTAAGAAGATTTTTCTTTGGCACGTTTCCAAAGGCCACAGGAAGTCAGGCCCTGCAGTGGGTGTGGTGCCCAGAATCCAGGCCTAACTCATGACTTTATAACCATCAACCTTTGGACTAATGGCCCCGTGTGTACAATGATTACAAGTATGCATACATCCTGGTATTCTTTACTTCTGAATGAGAAAACTCAATGTGGCTTTGAAAATTCTTTCCAAAATGTTTATTTGCAGCTGAAGTTGTTCTTCCACAGATACTAAAAAGCATGGAAAAGGAAGATGCCCAGACTAGACTCCAGGGTGACCTTGGGAACACAAAGCTAGAAACTAACTACCACAAAGTGAATTCTCAAATACATGCTACTTCTTAAACAGGAGATTAAACAGTAACCTTGGGAAGGAAGGTTTGCCAAATATAAAACCAATAAAGGGGAGAAAGTAAATAACTCACCGGGAGTTATTATGATGAATATTACAGGCTCGGGCCATTAGCACCACAATGATTGGTCGAAAGGCTTTTCCTTTTCCATCAAAGTAGTATTCACACATATCCTTAAGTTCTGTTGTAGATATGAATAGTTCCTGAAACAAAGTTTCTCCGTGTCAATACAGCATCATAACTGCACAGTCAGTGGGATTTCTTTCACAAAACTTTGATTTTAGTGTATTCATTTCAACTGAGAAATTCAACACTCAGTAGGAAACGGTTCCAATGTTGTATGGCCATAAAGCTGGCTGTGTGTGGCTGGGCCACAAGCAACGCCTGGCTCGCCCCCAGGGGCCTCAGTGCTGGGGTGGGCACTGCTGCCGCCCCATGACTCCAAGAGACAGCAGATTGGGGGAGGAAAGCACCAGATGGCCAGTGACAGCTGGAGAGAGAAAGAAACAGGGCTGGTTGCAGCTTGGAAGATGGAGGGGAGAGGACAAACATGGGGAGTGTAGGAGCCAATGAAGCAGGAGGTCAGTGGGTATCAGGGGCTGGAAGACGAGATGTGGCCAGAAAGAAGAGCAGGGGTCAGAGTCTGGCTCGGCCGTTACTTAGCCACACAAGCCAAAGGTTCATAGGGAAAGTGTAAGACATGGTTTACCTGATGGCAAGGAGCTTCCAATTGAGTTGGGAAAGCAAAATTTTAAAAAATGTGAAATATTCAGTGAATAATATGGTGGTAACTTGAACAATGCCGTACGTTAAGTGCATTAAAGTTCAAAGAATGGAGAGATCAGTGTGGACGAGAAAAACTGAACATTTCATGGAGGAGATAAGCTTTGATTGGGGATTACAGGATAAGTAGGATTTTGATTTCTGAAGAGGAGGGAGAGCCTTCCTGGTGATGGGCATGTGTGTTTACTGTATCTGTCCCTCAGGGACTTGCTGGAGAGAACCAGAGCTTATGCCCTGGGAGCAATGGGAGCTACAAATGGACCCAAAGGACCTTCAGCAGGGCTCAAGTGAACACAGTCCAGCAGGCCAGCCACTCACTCCCTCAGTTACTGACTCAGTGCCAAGGACGATAATAAACGCAGAGGTTTCAAAGATAAATAGGACAGCCCCTTGCCTACAGGCAGCTCAGAGTCTAGATGGGGGAAGGAAAACAACATTGCGGGGGGACTGCTGTCGTGGAGGTAAGTGCAGCTGCTCTGGGAGCACAACGGGGGCGTCTCTGGCTCAGGCTGAGGGCGGGAGGAGGAAAGCAAGGCTGGGGACTGAAGGCAAGAGGCAGACGAGACGAGGAGGGTGTGGAGGGGAAGAGGAGGCTGCATCGAGGATCCTCCCCGGGTTCCTGGGTGGCAGCCTCCAATCAACAGGACAAACAAGAGAAAAAACAATCTGTAGGAAAAGGCAGAGCTTCAGATCTGCCAAGTGCGAGACAGTCACGGACATTCCAGGGAGCTGCCCAGTGAGCAAAGTTTAGGAGAGAAAATTCCATCTGGACTGGAGGTATTATGTGGGACTCATAAGCATGGGAATGGGTAAACTGAAGACAGAGAGAGAAGAGGAGCTGACAGAACCCCAGGGACGGCACAATTAATAGGGGTGGGGTGGAGGGGACAGAGAGGAACCCAGGAAGCTGACTGAAGGATGGCCTAAGAGTCAGGAGGACGAGCAGAGTGCAGAAGCCAAGAGGTGGGTTTCACAGATGGGGGCTGTGGGGAACAGAGTCCAATGTTCAAAGAGCCCGGGAAGATACAAACCAGCAGTGCCCACTGGATTTGGTGGAGGGAAGCAAAGGCAGTTTCAGAGGAGAAGCTGGAAAGGAAGGCACAGTGTGATGGCGGAGCAGTGGTGAAGGGGCAAAAGAGAGAGAGAGGCCAAGAATACTGGAAGGGAAGGGGTAGGAGGACACAGGGTCAAGGGATGGTCCTTTAAAAGACAAACAGGAAGAAACTGGAGCATCCAAAATGGATCTGAAAGAGAATGAGTCTGCAGATAGACAGAACAGGGAATTGCAGGAGGAGTTCCTAGGGCCCCGAGGAGGCAAAGGGGATGGGACTTAACCAGAGGTACAGGGATGAAGCTGGAAAGGAGGGAACCCTGACTTCACTGAGGTGGGAGGGGAGGAGGCCGGCATGCAGCAGTGTGGGCTGCAAATGGCCCAGAGCAGGCGTTCAGGGAGTTCCTCCTTCATGGCCTCTGCTTGGTCCACTGGACAGGAAGTGGTGGAAACAGGAGAGTCGGGTGGGGCCTGCAGGGGCAAAGTGCGGAACCTTGAAACGGGAAGGAAGCTGACCAGGGGCACGTGAACATTTCTGGGCAGCATCTGAGAATCCACGTGAGGCTGGGGGCCACTGAAAATTTTGGGAAAAGAATGCTTAGCGAAGAAAGCCCTATTTGGGTCAGCCTGGCACTGATATTCAGAACCCGACAGGAAGATAGTAGCAGGAGTCACCGGAGGCTTCATAGCCTCACCAGGCCTGGAGCACGGGATGGATTTGGCAAGGAAAGGTTAGATGACTCTTTGGACGTGTACCTGCTGCCTGTACCTTTTTTTTCGGTTTCCTAATTCTGCCATCACCCCCCTCTGGACAGTAACTTGCATTGCATCCCCCACGATGCCCCACACTTGTTGCTCAAGAAACATTTGAAACCTGACATTTGGGAATCAAATCTGCAACAGCACGGCACACATGTGAAAACCTGCACTGTTTGCTCATAATTCTAAGAAATCAACATTACTTTACAGCATCGTCAAAAATATCTTACCTTCCTGATGTCCTCGTACAGACCTTTCAAGTCTCTCCAGCCAAGGTTAAAAGGATCAGTGTATTTTTCACCGCTCCGTGTTCTACTACAGCAGCACACTGCTGGCGTCACGTGATGGAACCTGGAGAGGCAGAAATGCACACAGTGGAAGACTGAGCGTTACTTTACTGAGATAACTTCACTTTTAAGTAAGAATTATACAGACCTATGCATATATATACAGCAGAGTATGATGATGGAAAATTTAAGCCCAGATACTTGCTGGAAATTAAGTATGAATACAAAAAGGTCATTATAATTTAGAAAAACATAACAGAATTCTGATCTTGCTCAACAATACATCAATTTTTATAACCAGGACCCTGGGAACCCACAAAATCAAAGAAATATAAACCATGTTCATTGTGTTCTGAGTTTAAATTTTATACAGTTCCTCCATACCTATGGGTTCCGCATCTGCGGATTCAACCAACCTCGAACTGAAAAAAAATATTTATATATGTAAAAATATATATTTATATATATAAATATATAAACTCATAAAATTCCAGAAAGTTTCAAAAAACAAAATTTAAATTTGCCATGCTTGGTAACTGTTTACACAGCATTTACATTGTATTTACAACAATTTGGACAGCATTTACATTGTATTAGGTATTATAAGTCACCTAGAGATGATTTAAAGTATATGGGATGAGGGGCTTCCCTGGTGGCACAGTGGTTAACAATCTGCCTGCCAATGCAGGGGACACAGGTTTGAGCCCTGGTCCGGGAAGATCCCACATGCTGCGGAGCAACTAAGCCCACGAGCCTGTGCTCTAGAGCCCATGAGCCACAACTACTGAGCCCATGTGCCACAACTACTGAAGCCCTTGTGCCTAGAGCTTATGCTCCGCAACAAGAGAAGTCACCACAATAAGAAGCCCGTGCACTGCAACGAAGAGTAGCCCCCTCTCCCCTCAGCTAGAGAAAGCCAGCACACGTCAACAAAGACCCAACGCAGCCAAAAATATAAATAAATAAATAAATTTAAAGTATATGGGATGGGGACTTCCCTGGTGGTGCAGTGGTTAAGAATCCACCTGCCAATGCAGGGGACACAGGTTTGATCCCTGGTCCGGGAAGATCTCACATGCTGCGGAGCAACTAAGCCTGTGCGCCACAACTACTGAGCCTGCACTCTAGAGCCCGTGAGCCACAACTACTGAGCCCACGTGCCACAGCTACTGAAGCCCTCATGCCTAGAGCCCATGCTCCGCAACGAGAGATGCCACCGCAATGAGAAGCACACGCACCACAACAAAGAGTAGCCCCCCTGATCGCTGCAACTAGAGAAAGCCTGCGCACAGCAACAAAGACCCAATGCAGCCATAAATAAATAAATGTTCCTTTAAAAAAAATAAAGTATATGGGATGATGTGTGTAGGTTGTATGCAAATATTATAGGACTTGAGCATCCCCAATTTTGGTATCTGAGGTGGGGGCGTGGCTAGAACCAATCCCCCTCCACCATACCAAGGGACAACTGTATTCCCATTTTCTCAAAAGGCAGAGATCACATAGAGCAGATATTGTGGCACTTAGTTAAACAGCATATCCAACTTGTTGGACTAGCCCATCACAATTTAGAATAGAAATTTACTGGCAGTATGGCCAATAATTTTAGTTGCAATACGGATTATAAACTTACCGTGATATACTATACATATTTGGAAAGGCAGATGTTAAACTCTTCACAAGATTAAAACAGGACATCTATAAAATAAAAGTATTAAGAAACTTGTAAGAATATTTGTGAAAAACTTGTTTATAACATTAGATAAATTAAAACTCCCATAATTTATAATAAAAGTAACCTTTTAGTTGTCCATTTAGACTGCAGACTTTAGAAAAAAATAACAAAAAGTTTTCTTTCCTTATTACAAAAGCAATATTCGTCATTACAGAAAATATAAATATAAAAAAGCAGAAAATAAAAAGCATCTATAATCTATCCCTTCCCCCAAAGACTGCTCCATATTCACATCTATCTTTCCAGATCTGAAATTCCCTTCCATTTAGCTAAGAGTGGGCAAAGAATAGTAAGGATTAGTGTGGTTTACACTCTTTTAAAGTCTTAACTTGGTTTAAAACAAAGAATAATCAAGATCCCAAAAGCATCTGCCCAGACAGTGAAAAAGAAAGGATTTCAATGTTAAGGAAGAAATTTACAGTTACACAAACACTGCCTATTTCAAGCCACTGTTCCTGAATATACTTGGAAATGGTACTTCTTGAAAAGTAATGTCAACAAACAAGCAAGCCCAGCAGCACATTTTGATAATATTAATGAGAGATCAAGAACAAGAGACGACTTCTAAAGGATTCAGAGGTGGTGCCGACAAATAGTTCCAACAATTATTGTGCACAGCAGTGGGGACCCACAGATACAGCAGCTCACTTGAAGAATTCAGGGACACGGGCATTTCAAAAATTACTAATTTACTAATCTGATGTGTGAAGGGCTCTTACAGAATACTTGAAGAAGATATCTTGACAAAGGATGGATTTAGCAGTAGAAAAAGAAAATGAAGGTAATAAAGCCTTACAATGTGCTTTCACACTATTTGACTCTCACAACTACTTGTTCTTATACAGCCGGGGAACTTGAAATTCAGAAAAGTCTGAAAAACTGGTAATACGGGTATGTTTACAATATATCAAAAGAAAAAAGCACCTACAGCCCTGTGTGCATTATGTGATTCCACTAAAAATGTGTACACCCACACACAAAAAATCAGAAAACAGGGTTTAGAAGCATATAAACCAGGCTATTAAAAATAGTTATTTTGGAATAAATAGGATCGTGGGAGTTTCTTGATTTATTCTTTTAAAATTCATATTTTCTGAATTTTCTTTAGTGAACACACCCTGCTTTAGACATACTAAAATGACAATAAAGGTTGACTTTGCCAGGCAGGCAGTGGCCAAAGAAGGCGGTCCTGAGTTCTATTTTCACCATAGCATTATATTCATTAAACCAGTAAGGACATTTATGACACCCCAGGCATTAAAATGTCCTACGGAAAAAAAGTGATAATCCTTTCATTTTACCATTACATGACACTTAACCTACTTCTGTCAGCCTTCATGCGTAAATGATTCACACGAATTTAGGATTTATGATGATGCTTATTCAGTCTGAGACCTAACCTCTAACTTGGGGTGAAGAGTTAAAATTACACAGCTAATACAGAGGCTCTTAACCACTGGGCAGTGCAACAGTGTAGCTTGTTGAAAGCCTGGAAGGTGGATCTTGGTTCAGATCCCAACATTTCCCGGTAGTTACCTTGAGACAGCTTTCTGATAATATCTACTCACAGAGATGCTAAGATTAATTGAGAGATCATATGTAAGGCTCTTAGCTGTGTACATTTAATATGGTATGTACTCAACCAAGCTGTCTTCTGCTTTAAGAGTACCTTCAGGCGGGCTTCCCTGGTGGCGCAGTGGTTGAGAGCCGATACAGGGGACACGGGTTCGTGGCCCGGTCCGGGAAGATCCCACATGCCGTGGAGCGGCTGGGCCCGTGAGCCATGGCCGCTGAGCCTGCGCGTCCGGAGCCTGTGCTCCGCAACGAGAGAGGCCACAACAGTGAGAGGCCCGCGTACCACAAAAAAAAAAAAAAAAAAGAGTACCTTCGGGCAATGTTTCCCAAAGTGAGGTTAGAGGTGCTCAGAAGAACAGGAAAGTATTCAAAGGGAGTGGTGTAACCGGAGCCACTTGTGCCACTGTTAGCACAGGCAACAACCATCTCCCAATTCCGATTTTGTGTCTTTCCATCACATATTCTCCCTGAAAGCCAACCTTGCCTCTCATGAAGTTACGTTTTTTAAAAAAGAGAAAATGCTGAGTAAGAATCAAGACATACTGACAAGTGATTTCTTACAATCACATACACACTGGTTTCTGTCCTATTCCAAGATGTTTGAACACTACCAATGAAGAAGTTGAGAGAACATACAAACATCAGGAAAAATGGAGCTGTGCTGGGAGAGACGGGCGTGGCTTTACTGTTGTTGCTCTTCGTCCCCAAGGACTATCAGGCCCTAACGGACTTGAACTAGCCACAACACACCCTCCTGAGGCAGACACCAGAAGGCTCATGTATTTACAGTGAAAAATACCACTGACACGAATCAGAAATACACGGTACTGGCATTACCAGCAAGGCTCCTCCTTGTGGTCATTAAGGCAGACGTGGAAGACATCCAGCACATTCTCTCCAGGAAAGCACCCTTTCTGTGGCTAAGATAATTGTTTAATGGGCATGGAATTTAAAAATAAATAAATAAATAAGGAGCATCAAAGAAAAGAAGTATCAGTAGCATCAGTGGTGGGGGCATCCATCTCTCCAAATAACATCCTCATCTGCGGTACTGGAAATATTTGAAGGCTGGCTAGGACAGTACTGAAATGGATCCCAGCAGACTCTCTTTCTCCCATATTCTCTCTTTACTGTCTAATCCACAGACTAGCCCAGTGGCCATTCTCTCTCCAAATGTCTATTTTGGATAAGTTGTGATTATGTATGCATATGTATCCCAAAGTAGACATTTAGAAATACTACATATTTCATATTGGGAAATGGTCTTTGATGGACACGGAAGTGCACCAAATCTGACTGAAACAGAAGAGTCCTAAATTCAAATAAACTTAAAAAAAAAATGAGCCTGGAGGATGAGAAGAGAACACATACAATTACTATGCGACCGGAGAAGTCTCTAAAAGGACAGTGAGTCCACAGGCCTTGCGTGGTTATGCTTACCAGTACGAGCCTAGCCTGTGGTACGCCAGGAATTAATCACTACAAAGTGCGGCAAAGGACTCACAGAGCCATAGAAACACAGGAGCTAAACTGCCCGGAAAGGGAGAAAAATTAGATGGAGTCCAAAGGCAGCAGGGGAGAGCGTCAGGGAGTCACGGTTAGTGCTCAGATTCTGACTCTGCTTCAAGAAGTCACAGGTCGATTTAAAAATCAAGGTTTCTCCACTTGCGACATCCTCAGGCCTCTTCTCCTTCCAGCCCGTCCAGGTGTGCCCTCCCTCCGAAACAACTACCGCAGGACTTAACTCCGGTCCACTCTAAGCATCAGTCCTGCGTTCTCCACGAGACTTTTCCTCCTATTCCGAGGCTACCCGGACCCTCCGTATCTCTGAGCGCTCAGAGCACCTTTTGCTCTAAAATCCCAATTAAGTTCTGTTGCCCCCGAAGCCCTGGCTGTAACTCGAAACACCTGCAGACGCTCTCCACGCTTTACGCATACCCCAGGAGACCACTGGGCCACACCTGCGTTTCCCCGGGACCTGGCTTCTCACCGCCCCTTCCCCACACCCGAGACGCTCCCCTGTCCCCAGGACACAGCTCTGCACCCCGCGCGGGGCGCCCACCCCTCGGTTCTGTCCCGTCCTCGGTGCCCCGCCAGCCCTGGGTCGCGTCCCAGCGCAGCCCCGCAGCCCCCGCCCGCCGCTCGTGCAGCTCGCCCTCATTCATTCTGCGGCGCCGCTGTCATTAGTGCGGTGACCTCTGCGCCCAGCTACGGCGCGCGCTTCCCGGCCTCACCTGCGCGCGGGCTGCAGCGGCGGCGGCGGCGGCGCGCAGCCCGGACAGTCCCGCGCGGCCGAGGGAGCCGGGCCCGGGACTCCGCGCCGCCGGCCTCCAGGAGCAACCACGCCGCCACCGCCACCAGCACGAGGCCATGGTCCGCGTCTGAAAGTCGCGGCAGACCTGCAGCTCCGCCTCTGGCCCGGCGGCCCCTCCTGCCGGGACCCGGAGCCGGAAGTCCGGCAGCGGAAGAGCTTCTGCCTCGCCAGCCCCGCCCCTTCTCGCTTCTCCCGAGGGCGCGTCCCGCCCCGGAGGAGGAGGAGCGGCCGCAGGGGGCTGAGCGGCGGTGGGGCGGCTAGATCCCCTCGTAACCCCGCCCGCTCGGCCGCCGCTGGCTCGGGAGAAACCAGCGTGATCTTCCTTCTGGGGAGCGGCCTCCCCCGACCCCGCCCAGCCGGTGCCTCCAGCAGTCTCCGCAAAAATGCACCCGTGTTAGACCGGCTGTCATCTAGAAATGCTACAGGGCGCCCGACGAACAATCAGGAACTTTCCTGTTGCGTATTTAGGCAGAAGTAGGACGCGAAGCATCGGGTTCCTGTTGTGCTGCCGAATCCGGAGGCTCCAGTTTCCGCGGCTGCTTCTCTTGGGTGTTACCTGCCACGCCGTCGTCTGCTCCTTATGGCGACCGGGCCTTGCAGGAAGTGCCAGCCTTTTGCATCTTTACAGTAACAAGTCAAACCCCGAGCAGGGCTATTGTGAAAGAGAAGTTAGATTAGCCTCGTCTCTCGACTTCTGGACGCTCTCCTCTGAAAACCTTATAGGTATATTGTGGCCTAGTTTGGCAATCTTGCTCACATCTGGATATGTGAGTCCCGCTCGTGGGTGTACTGAGCTGTGCGAAGTTGTTTAATATTTGGTAATGTTGAACCTACTTGTAACCAGCCCGGGGAATACTGGAGAATGGACAGGATTAATGCCCGTTAAGGGTTAGAAAGACCTTTCCTTAATTCTGTGGCCAGATCTACTCTTCTCATGGTAATGAGAGGGTGTCTTTATAAGAGAAGTGATATAATTAATCATTCAGTACATGCGTACAAACGCACAAAGCCTATCAGAGAAAGTGTAAGCATTGGGGATACAGAAATAGAAGAAACTTAACTCTGTCCTCAAATAATTCACTCTTATGAGAAAATAGACCAGCAAACAGGCAACTGTGATTCTCTGATATTTTTTCTTGTTCTTCTGACTCATGCATTTTGCATTAAAGAATGCAAGTACCCGTATAGCTGAGCACATTTTTACACTTATCTTCAAAATTTTTTAACTGAATAAAAGCATATAATAAAGAAGTTTTTAAAAATGTCAGTTTTATTGAGGTTTTTTTCCCCTAATTTTGAAGAATATTATATAAAAGATGTCAGGTGCTTTACAAATTAAGGTTGTTAATATGCACCTGTGGCTTATCTTGATCTAGGTTTATGTATTAAGAAATATCCACAGGTGGAGTTGGCCAAAATAGAGTGTTGCAGTAAACACTTGTACTTGCAACAATCCTGTGACTTAGAATATTTTCATTTGCCCTTTTTTTATAGGTAGAGAAACAGATATATAGGAATAAGTGTCTTGCCCAAGCTCACATAGTTGGTAGATAGAGCACTACACAATTCTGTTACGCCATTTTCATTTAGAAATTGTTTACCCAGATTAAAACAATAACCTAGCTCTTAAAAAGATGTAATTTGGCAAAGCTAAGTAGGGGGGAAGGCAGATGAAATTTGTGAAGGCCTCCACCATTATAGTATAGCTAAACTTCCCATGAACAATAACCCACCAACAGGACATGCAGAATACAAAGTAGTTCCTTTGACCCAACTAGGCCAAGCATGAGTCTAGAAAGTTAAAACATTATCTAAGCTGTGCAAGTAATTGCCAAAGAACAAACTCCTCTCGTGCACAGCCTAGAAATGGCTTGGGCCTTTTTGACTGCACGTATACAAATGAAACAGCTAGCCACACTGATAAAAATGGAATAAGTGTACAGTTGAAACATTTTCAAAGTTATTTTGATATTGGAGAATTGGCTACACTCGAAGACATTTTATTTCCATAATGATGATACTGTTCAAAACATTAGGTAGGACCAGGTTTTACAGCCAAGGAGAGATTACATACAAAATATAACCATATATTGTTTCATAGTACTGCATAGAAACACCTCATCCTGATGTTATTAGATAACTGATAAATGAATTATCAATGTAACTCTGGTAACAACATTGATTGAGAGAAGAGTTGCACTGAAAGGTGAGCAATTTTTGTGCATTTCATATTCTTAGACCAAACTGAATTCTGAAGACTTGAAATAATACCCTTATTTCTACTACCGATTTCTCTGAAATGTTAAGATAATGGGTTAACATGCATTTGGAATTTTCTCTGGGGTCTTAGTCTATGACTGATTAGTTCGCTAAATGTAACAAGGGTGAGGACTGGGTACCTCTGAAGCAATTAGTCTTTTTTGTTCCCTGGCCAGTGATCACAGGTGTTAGGTGATCAGCTGCCTTGCCAAAATGTGAGTCAATCAGTATAAAAAAATAAGTATTAGTGAAACGTGATATACTGCCCATGCTCTACTAAAATTTTAGAGCATCCTAAAAGATAATGCATTAATTATATAATTTAGTCTATTTCCACACAGAGGCTCTCCTAAAAGAGAAGAAAATACACTATTGGATCATCTGCTCCTAATCATAGTCAGGTTTTCTTGATGGATACTAAAATCTGTTTTTTGGTTGACTACCCATTTGTTCCCCCATGATGCTGCCTTATTCACCATGTACTTAGGGGAAAGTGTAAAGAGCTAAATCTGACCCACGTTTGCCTGTTTTTTACTCATATGGAGAAGATATAAGAATTCTCTTGTTTCTATTATAACTGACATTTAGTTCACCTAGGCTTGTGTGGAATAAAAAGGAGTTATTCCAAACAATTGAACAAATTGACATGATGCCACCTTTCTCCACTGATTCAAAATATTGTTTTCATTATATAGGGAATTCTTACATTACTTTGGACTGTTTCTGTGCTTTTTATGGAGTCCCATTGATTTTTGCATCTATTTTGGGGATAGCATTATTTTTGGGGATAGTTATTTTTACAATTTTTAAAATGATAAAGAAGCTCCCATTTCTGTTATTTAAAAAAGCATTTTCTCAGATTTACACTTTCTTTCTTCAAAAAAAAATCCTACTACGATTTTTGACTGGATTTCCATTATGTTTAGTAAATAATTTGATTGGATTTCCATTATGTTTAGTAAAAATTTGGTGACAGTGACATCCTGATAATATCTCTATCCAGAAACATAGGTTTTTGTGTCCCTTGTTTTAGTAATACACCTGTCCTCTTCTATTTTTTGTTTTAATTTGTTTGGATTAGGAAAACATTAAGATTTTAAGAATTGTACTTAAAAGTAAACATTTTCTGAGTATCTAAAGCATGCCCAAAGCTCTCTTTTTTTCTCTACAGCTTTTTAAATAAAGTATATGGGCTTTAGTGCATGGACTTCATGAAACATAGTTTATCTCTTTAGAGGCAATTTTTAGAATTCTAGCCCTGTGAACAGGCACGTATCAAATGTTTTGAAGTTTCTGATGGGATTGGAAGCAGTTTTGTACATTTAGTAAAACATCTGTTGCCTGGTTTAGAGTTATTTATGTATGTATCTGTTTCCTTCAATTAATTATGATTTTTCTGAAGGGCAGAAAGAATGTGATTAAGTGTCAAATATTTTTTTGGTTGGATCTACTGGATTGGCCAGTACTGTAATTCTGATGCTGTAATGCAGCTCACCTCCTTTTATTCATATATTCTTATTTATAAATAAATTGCACATCCCGTTGGTCTCCCATAAGTGAAAATCTTTGAAGACAGGGTATGTGTCTTGTTTTAAACTTTTTTCATCTCCCATCTTCTTGGACAGTTTAATATACTGTAATATATGAATATTGAATAGATACGGTTGAAAATAAGTCTTTAAATAACAAAGTATGAACAAAGTAGTAGTTTAAGTTGATTTTCTTCAACAACTGTAGGCTTTCTAAGGACGATTAATGCTGTATATGCAACAAATGAGAACATTAAGAAGGGTTGTCTTTTTTCTTTTATCAGCTGTGTTGCCAATTGATCCTGTTAAAGAAAATTATGTGCGTAAAGTGGAAAACTGTGTTTTCTCGATTGCCTTCCCCACTCCTTTCAAATCAAGAGTACATCTTGTAGCAGTTTCAAAGGTTAGGCTTTACTTTTTCACAACACTTAACTCACTATAACTTTTGTCTAAAAAATTAGTAATATTTTTTTCAGAGTTAAATTGTTAATCTATTGATAAATGATTATCTTTGTGTTTAAATTTTGTAACTTGGAGAATGTCATTCTTAGAAGTCACTTTTTGATACTTATTCCTGGAGCCTAGTACTCAGTTCCATTTTAAAGTTACCTTACAAGGAAAACACACTTTTGTGGAAAAAAGGGGTAAATGAGTTAAATTCTTAGAAAGGGGCTCCAATAACAAATTCTAAATTATTCTCTCATGATATAGATGAATTTGGGATAACAATAGGACATTTATTTTTTTCTAGTTCCTTTAAAGAATATGTACTAGGAAGAATATTATTTTACCATGCATAATAAGAAAGCCATAACAATTTTAGAACTATCTAATAGACCTAATTTTCCCAAGTAGCATAAATAATCCTAGAAAGTACGGTACATCTCTTCTGAGAAAATATTAATGTAATTTTGGAAGAAGTTTATCCTTTTAATTTTCTTTTTTCCATAAAGTTTATTTTCTCAAAAACTATTAAAGGATTACTTAAGTTTGTAAGAAGATTTTTCTTTTCCTGCCTCAGCAAGTGCTAGAAGATATTTTGGACCTTGATTTATCTGTCTCAGAAACAGATGATTTTATCCAGCTTGTAAGTGGCGAAAAGATAGTACCTGGATCCATTCCATTGGCTCACAGATATGGGGGCCACCAGGTAAGAGTAGCACCAATATCACTTCCTTATGCAAATATAAACAGCTGGTAGAAATGCTATCCTATTGAAGAAGTTATTTTGCATTAATTTCTAATATTAGTGTATTGAGACTTCAAGAAGATGTTTCTAAAAGAATGTGTCATATATAGATTAGCTGATGTGATTTCTTGTGATAAAGCTAGGGTGTAAGTTTTTCTAATGGAATTGAGAAAACTGGGGGAGCACACTATAACATTTCTGTGATTATCGCTAGAGAATTC